TAGGGGCTAAAGTTGTTATTTTACATTATGACGCAACAGCATTGTGACATCAAAGTGTGACGTCATGTCAAAAATGGAAGCTTCGCAAGGTCATGACCTTCAATATAATTGATCGCAAATGAGAATATGTATCTTCTGTATAGATATACATGTGACATAGACCTATTGAGTATCTAGTTAGGGTGACACCATCCAGATGTTTTAGGCAATCTTCTGATTTAAGACAGTGACTATTTCCAATTAGACCCCCCCCCCCCCTTGTTTATACAGAAACTAGTAATATCTGTCAAAATTGTTTGGCAGCTTTTCAAAAAATTTATAATGTAACATTTTAGTGATATTCAAATACTGTATATTTCATACTTTGTGTTTTTTAAATTGAAGAAAAATAAAATTATTGTGTGAGCTGATTCGGTTAGGTTTGAATTTCTCTTCGAAGTCCTGTTTTATGCGTCGACTAATGTCGTAGACATGTAATACTAAATTTACAATAACTTGCCCATTTCTGGACCAAATTCAACAATTTATGCACCAAAATGTTTGGAATTCTGTCCTCTTTGCACCTAAATACAAAAAAGTGAATTGCAAAAAAAAATTATTTCCTTTAAGGTAGCTAAACACAGTTTCGTATAAAATCCAGGGGGTTTTTCCCAGAGAGAAGCATGCTGGGTAGGGATTTTCCTGCTATTTATAGGAGTCTAGATGAAAACTGCATCTTTTTTGTTTTTATTCGCATAAAGTAGAGTCTTATCTTAATATTTAAAGAAAAAATTGTGTATTCATTTTTAGAAAAAAAAAATTGTGAGACTTTTTAATAGGGGGAGATAACTCCCAAAACATCCAGTTTTCACATGTGCAGAATTGTATGAGTCAATTAGCAGGTAATGTAGCTCATTCAAGAGGTGGAAAATGTACCCTGAAAGCACACTAAAAGAAAACCTTAGGACTTGTTCTGTGAAATGCATGCAACTTATTTTGTCTGATTTTTTCTGTTTTTGTTGAGCAGGGGGGTTAAAAATGCATAGGTGCACTGAAAATGGATGTGTAAACAACCCAATATCCCCCTTATTTCAGGTGTCAAATACCCCCTAGTAGTAATTGATGAATGTCTTATAGTTGGATATTTACAAAATTCACAATTTTATCTTTCCATTGATATGCAGAAGTCTATGTAACAAGCCTCCATTTTATTTTTTTATAGGGGTCAGTTTTGCATGTCCCTCACCAAGTAACGTCCTGATAACGTCATACATAAAACTGTGTTTTGCACCCTTAAGGAGTAGCATTTGATGACATTTCCCACATTTATTTGCCTGTAAGTTCATAGAAAATTGCTTTATTTCTTTTAAATTATGTAGTAAACCATACAATATAATCTCAGGTTGACACTGTTTAAGGCATAATGCCTATTAGATACATGTTCCATAGAATTTATACATATGATAAGGATTTAGGGGCTAAAGTTGTTATTTTACATTATGACGCAACAGCATTGTGACATCAAAGTGTGACGTCATGTCAAAAATGGAAGCTTCGCAAGGTCATGACCTTCAATATAATTGATCGCAAATGAGAATATGTATCTTCTGTATAGATATACATGTGACATAGACCTATTGAGTATCTAGTTAGGGTGACACCATCCAGATGTTTTAGGCAATCTTCTGATTTAAGACAGTGACTATTTCCAATTAGACCCCCCCCCCCCCTTGTTTATACAGAAACTAGTAATATCTGTCAAAATTGTTTGGCAGCTTTTCAAAAAATTTATAATGTAACATTTTAGTGATATTCAAATACTGTATATTTCATACTTTGTGTTTTTTAAATTGAAGAAAAATAAAATTATTGTGTGAGCTGATTCGGTTAGGTTTGAATTTCTCTTCGAAGTCCTGTTTTATGCGTCGACTAATGTCGTAGACATGTAATACTAAATTTACAATAACTTGCCCATTTCTGGACCAAATTCAACAATTTATGCACCAAAATGTTTGGAATTCTGTCCTCTTTGCACCTAAATACAAAAAAGTGAATTGCAAAAAAAAATTATTTCCTTTAAGGTAGCTAAACACAGTTTCGTATAAAATCCAGGGGGTTTTTCCCAGAGAGAAGCATGCTGGGTAGGGATTTTCCTGCTATTTATAGGAGTCTAGATGAAAACTGCATCTTTTTTGTTTTTATTCGCATAAAGTAGAGTCTTATCTTAATATTTAAAGAAAAAATTGTGTATTCATTTTTAGAAAAAAAAATTGTGAGACTTTTTAATAGGGGGAGATAACTCCCAAAACATCCAGTTTTCACATGTGCAGAATTGTATGAGTCAATTAGCAGGTAATGTAGCTCATTCAAGAGGTGGAAAATGTACCCTGAAAGCACACTAAAAGAAAACCTTAGGACTTGTTCTGTGAAATGCATGCAACTTATTTTGTCTGATTATACCCGCACTTTCTAAAGAAAGTTCGGGTATATTGTTGTTACTCATGTCCGTCCGTCCGTCCGTCCGTCCGTCCGTCCGTCCGTCCGTCCGTCTGTCACACTTTTCTTCCCTGAACTCCTCCTACATTTTAAACAGTAGCTTAATCATCTTTTGGGAGATGGTTGGTGGGGTCATGTAGATGTGCAGTAAGGTTTTGGAATTTTGATTTTGCCCCGGGGGGTCAAATGGGGGTCGAAAAATGACGTTTTTTGTGCAAAAAGTCCCGTCTTCCCTGAACTCCTTCTACATTTTACTCAGCAGCCTAATCACCTTTTGGGGGATGATTGGTGGTGTCATGTAGATGTGCAGTAAGGTTTCGGAATTTTGATTTTGCCCCGGGGGGTCAAATGGGGGTCAAAAAATGACGTTTTTTATGCAAAAAGCCCCATCTTCCCTGAACTCCTCTTACATTTTACTCAGCAGCCTTATCATCTTTTGGGGGATGATTGGTGGTGTCATGTAGATGTGCAGTAAGGTTTCGGAATTTTGATTTTGCCCCGGGGGGTCAAATGGGGGTCGAAAAATGATGTTTTTTATGCAAAAAGCCCCGTCTTCCCTGAACTCCGTCTACATTTTACACAGTAGCCTAATCATCTTTTGGGAGATGGTTGGTTGGGTCATGTAGATGTGCAGTAAGGTTTTGGAATTTTGATTTTGCCCTGGGGGTCAAATGGGGGTCGAAAAATGACGTTTTTTATGCTAAAAGCCTCGTCTTCTCTGAACTTCTCTTACATTTTACTCAGCAGCCTTATCATTTTTTGGGGGATGATTGGTGTTGTCACGTAGATGTGCAGTAAGGTTTCGGAATTTTGATTTTGCCCCAGGGGGTCAAATGGAGGTAGAAAAATGATGTTTTTTAATGCAAAAAGCCCCGTCTTCCCTGAACTCCTTCTACATTTTACACAGTAGCCTAATCACCTTTTGGGGGATGATTGGTGGTGTCATGTAGATGTGCAGTAAGGTTTCGGAATTTTGATTTTGCCCCAGGGGGTCAAATGGGGGTCGAAAAATAACGTTTTTTATGCAAAAAGCCCCATCTTCCCTGAACTCCTCTTACATTTTACTCAGCAGCCTTATTATCTTTTGGGGGATGATTGGTGTTGTCATGTAGATGCGCAGTAAGGATTCGGAATTTTGATTTTGCCCCGGGGGGTCAAATGGGGGTCGAAAAATGATGTTTTTTATGCAAAAAGCGCCGTCTTCCCTGAACTCCTTCTACATTTTACACAGTAGCCTAATCATCTTTTGGGAGATGGTTGGTTGGGTCATGTAGATGTGCAGTAAGGTTTCAGAATTTTTATTTTGCCCTGGGGGGTCAAATGGGGGTCAAAAAATGACATTTTTTATGCAAAAAGCCCCGTCTTCCCTGAACTTCTCCTACATTTTACACAGTAGCCTAATCATCTGTTGGGAGATGGTTGGTGGTGTCAGGTAGATGTGCAGTAAGGTTTTGGAATTAAGATTTTGCCCTGGGGGGGTCAAATATGGGTCGAAAAATGACGTTTTTTGTGAAAAAAGCCCTGTCTTCCCTGAAGTCTTCCTTAATGTTACTCAGAAGCCTAATCATCTTTTAGGAGAGTTAAATATTTTGAAAATTATGTAAAACATCAACGTCAAGGGGTAAAAAAAAGCATCACATGCTGGGAAACACCTTGAATTCTTATGAGTAATTAATGTATATGTCAAATGTGAGAGTCATATCTCATCTCAATCAAAAGTTATAAGCAAATGCAACATTTTTGAAAAGTAGAGGCTTGACCTCTTCAAGGTCAAGGTCACAGAGTAAAAATCATGATTTATTTGGAAAGGTCTTATCACAGGTAATAATATACATGCATTATGATATGAATGCCCTAACTTTTCTCCTTCAAAATGATGAATTTATAACAATTTAATTTTTTTGCAAGTAGGTCAAACTTCTAGGTCACAGGTAAAAAAAAAACAAGATTTGTTTGTGAAACACTATGCGCCCGGCCGGCAACAAGTACAAAAAATCTATTTTTAGCATATTGATCACAGTCAAGGTCACAAGGTCATTGACCATGGTGTCATTAGAAAGAACTTAATCAGTGGAGTATGCATACCAAATATGAAGTCTCTATCTCCTATGGTTCAAAAGTTATGGCAAAAAGTGTAAAGAGCTATTTTAAGCATATAGGTCACAGTCAGGATCACAAGATCATTGACCTTGCCGTCGTTTGAAAGGACTTTATCGATATCGTATGCATACCAAATATGAAGTTCCTATCTCCTATGGTTAGAAAGTTATGGCAAAAAGTGTAAAAAGCTATTTTTAGCATATAGGTCACAGTCAAGGTTGCAAGATCATTGACCTTGATGTTGTTTGAAAGGATTCTATTAGTGGAGTATGCATACCAAATATGAAGTCCCTATCTCCTATGGTTAAAAAGTTATGACAAACAGTGGAAAAAGCTATTTTTAGCATATAGGTCACAGTCAAGGTCACAAGGTCATTGACCTTGATGTCATTTGAAAGGACTTTATTACTGGAGTATGCATACCAAATATGAAGTCTCTATCTCTTATTGTTCAAAAGTTATGGCCAAGGTTAAAGTTGACAACAGACAGACAGACAAACAGATAAACAGACAAACAGACAAAAAGACAAACAGACAGGACAAAAACAATATACGCCCGAGATCTATCGATCCGGGCGCATAAAAAAACCATGCCATTCTCACAGGTAAATACTAATACATAAGTTTAATATTCAGTAGATATGACCGTGATGACCAAGGTTAAATTTATTGAGACAGATGGACAGTATGACATACAAATATACATATTTCTATATGAATTGGGTAAAATTGGCCCAGTGGTTCTAGAGAAGTTAAAAATGTAAAAAGTTTTCAGACAAACAGATGGACGACACGTCACGACAGACGTTACATGTTAAGGAAACCAGAAAAGCTCAAATGAGTGTTTTGAAAGGGTTAGAATATGGTTGCAGTATTTGAAAAGCTGTTTTTTTCATGCAGAGATATACATGCCCAACATATTCATGTTTTATATTTTCTTTAGTAATTTGTTTGTTTGTTGTGAATACATCTCTCTTGGGAATTTTTCCCTCATATGGAGACACCACCAAATAATAATGAAGACAAGATGTGTTTGTGAAACACTGATGTCCCTGTATGGAAGCCTATGGCGAAGGTTGAAGTTTCTCAAATATATGTCAAACTCAAAGTTCAAGGTCAAAGGATTCAAATTGTTAGTATCAGAAGAAAGTCTTGTCACAAGGAATGCACATGTGAAATAAAGATATCCCTAGTAATTCCTGTTCAAAAGTTAATTGCCAAGGTTAATTTTTTTTAAGTGGTTCAAACTCTAGGGTCAAGGTCAAACATATTTATAATTGTTGACAGTTCACAATGAATACACATGTTAAGCATGAAAGCCCTAGCACCTATTGATCAAAATTTAGGCCAAGTTTAAAGTTTGGTATTTTTCTTGTAAAAATGTGTATCCTAGATCAAGGGATTTCAGGTAAAAATTAATGGTACCCAAATAAAAGGTCTTAATTGTCACAAGAAATAAACCTATAAAATGTAGAAGCCATTTGTGTAGCCCATCCCACTTAAAACTTATGGGCAAGGTTATAATTTCTGCAGACAAATAGACAGACATAATATAAACACAAGAAACAAAATATGTATAATTAGTCAAATGGAAAAAAATATACTATTTAATTGGAATTACAAAATAGATTGTTATTTCAGGGACAGGGAGTGGGTAGGGAGATTGGAATCCCCCCACCCCCCCCCCCCCCCCCTGGAATTTGCTTTGTTATTTAAACAAGACTATATACTGAAGCAAATAAAAAATGACTTTGGACATCCTCCCCCTAACTGAGAAAACATTGACCACACTATCATTGTTTTTATTTTGTTTATTTAATTTCAGTTTTTTTTTCTCCTGCTTGTCAGGAAATTCTGGGCTGGAAATTTTTTGACTGAGATGTGAACCCCTCTCCCTACTCCCGAAAAAAAATTCTGGATCCGCACCAGTATTGGCAGTAACTGAATGTCACATCGACAATGGCAGATAACTTCACAATATGAAATTCGTCTAGTGTGCCATGCGATGATCTTTGACCCTTTTTGAACTTTAACCTAATCGTTTGGGTTTATTTTACTCCCCACTATACTTAAACTTGTACTTACCGACTGCCATACATGTTTGTCTCGTCAACTTCATGAAATATAAATCCAGTTATAACACAAAATGAATTAATCCAATGCACACCAGACTGCAGCCATTTGTGCTAATTCCATTCGACAAACCTTCGTCGATTCCGTCACCTTATCAGATGAAGTGGGAATCGGCCGAGGTGTGCCAAATGGTGTTTGATCTAAAAATATGATAATGGGTGACGCAACGTGATGTGATGTAGAAATTTACATGTTAACATGTATAGTACAAGAACAAATTTTAAATTAATTCATAACAAACGATGTTTTAACAAAACTTTTCCATCTAGCCTATTCCAAACAGTATGTGCTGTGTGATTGTGGTGTCGACGGGGGGGATTAATAAATTTAAAAAGGTCCTATTATGAGCAAAACATTTATCAAAATCTAATTTACATCATTAATAGAATTCAAACTGGTATATAATGAATTAAGCATGTAAAATAAATATAAGAGGTTCTGAGTTATAGGTCACAGGGCCGGTATGAGAATTTCATACTCAGTTTGATGAATACATGTAAATCATTGTGTCGGAAGCAAATTCAAAGTGGGGGGCTAGGTGTAAAAAAAAATTTTTATACCTTCTAAAAAAAACCTGACAAGCAAAAAAAAAAAAAAAAAAAGAAAAAAAAAATTTCCCAAAACACGAAAATCCTATTTCGGGGGGTGGGGGGGGGGGGGTTGAATTCGAACTTCAGTACCATAATTTTGTTTTCTATACACTACCTTTTTCCCATTTTTTACCTACATGTATACTGCCATGTGTCTGTGGAAAGTGGGGGGGGGGGGGCTAAACCTATGAAGCAATGTTCAATATCTATACTAAGTATATGTTTGGAAAAAAAACTGGCCCAGCCCCCCCCCCCTCCCCCGGTTCCGACGCCTATGTAAATTATAGAAATATTTTGACTTTTTCCTTGGAAAGCCGGCCAATATGTAGGAGCGTGTTTTAGAGGCAAACACCTTAGTGCGGGTATTACTGTCTCATGACAGCATCTAGTTTTTTCTGTTTTTGTTGAGCAGGGGGGTTAAAAATGCATAGGTGCACTGAAAATGGATGTGTAAACAACCCAATATCCCCCTTATTTCAGGTGTCAAATACCCCCTAGTAGTAATTGATGAATGTCTTATAGTTGGATATTTACAAAATTCACAATTTTATCTTTCCATTGATATGCAGAAGTCTATGTAACAAGCCTCCATTTTATTTTTTTATAGGGGTCAGTTTTGCATGTCCCTCACCAAGTAACGTCCTGATAACGTCATACATAACTGTGTTTTGCACCCTTAAGGAGTAGCATTTGATGACATTTCCCACATTTATTTGCCTGTAAGTTCATAGAAAATTGCTTTATTTCTTTTAAATTATGTAGTAAACCATACAATATAATCTCAGGTTGACACTGTTTAAGGCATAATGCCTATTAGATACATGTTCCATAGAATTTATACATATGATAAGGATTTAGGGGCTAAAGTTGTTATTTTACATTATGACGCAACAGCATTGTGACATCAAAGTGTGACGTCATGTCAAAAATGGAAGCTTCGCAAGGTCATGACCTTCAATATAATTGATCGCAAATGAGAATATGTATCTTCTGTATAGATATACATGTGACATAGACCTATTGAGTATCTAGTTAGGGTGACACCATCCAGATGTTTTAGGCAATCTTCTGATTTAAGACAGTGACTATTTCCAATTAGACCCCCCCCCCCCCCCTTGTTTATACAGAAACTAGTAATATCTGTCAAAATTGTTTGGCAGCTTTTCAAAAAATTTATAATGTAACATTTTAGTGATATTCAAATACTGTATATTTCATACTTTGTGTTTTTTAAATTGAAGAAAAATAAAATTATTGTGTGAGCTGATTCGGTTAGGTTTGAATTTCTCTTCGAAGTCCTGTTTTATGCGTCGACTAATGTCGTAGACATGTAATACTAAATTTACAATAACTTGCCCATTTCTGGACCAAATTCAACAATTTATGCACCAAAATGTTTGGAATTCTGTCCTCTTTGCACCTAAATACAAAAAAGTGAATTGCAAAAAAAAATTATTTCCTTTAAGGTAGCTAAACACAGTTTCGTATAAAATCCAGGGGGTTTTTCCCAGAGAGAAGCATGCTGGGTAGGGATTTTCCTGCTATTTATAGGAGTCTAGATGAAAACTGCATCTTTTTTGTTTTTATTCGCATAAAGTAGAGTCTTATCTTAATATTTAAAGAAAAAATTGTGTATTCATTTTTAGAAAAAAAAAATTGTGAGACTTTTTAATAGGGGGAGATAACTCCCAAAACATCCAGTTTTCACATGTGCAGAATTGTATGAGTCAATTAGCAGGTAATGTAGCTCATTCAAGAGGTGGAAAATGTACCCTGAAAGCACACTAAAAGAAAACCTTAGGACTTGTTCTGTGAAATGCATGCAACTTATTTTGTCTGATTTTTTCTGTTTTTGTTGAGCAGGGGGGTTAAAAATGCATAGGTGCACTGAAAATGGATGTGTAAACAACCCAATATCCCCCTTATTTCAGGTGTCAAATACCCCCTAGTAGTAATTGATGAATGTCTTATAGTTGGATATTTACAAAATTCACAATTTTATCTTTCCATTGATATGCAGAAGTCTATGTAACAAGCCTCCATTTTATTTTTTTATAGGGGTCAGTTTTGCATGTCCCTCACCAAGTAACGTCCTGATAACGTCATACATAAAACTGTGTTTTGCACCCTTAAGGAGTAGCATTTGATGACATTTCCCACATTTATTTGCCTGTAAGTTCATAGAAAATTGCTTTATTTCTTTTAAATTATGTAGTAAACCATACAATATAATCTCAGGTTGACACTGTTTAAGGCATAATGCCTATTAGATACATGTTCCATAGAATTTATACATATGATAAGGATTTAGGGGCTAAAGTTGTTATTTTACATTATGACGCAACAGCATTGTGACATCAAAGTGTGACGTCATGTCAAAAATGGAAGCTTCGCAAGGTCATGACCTTCAATATAATTGATCGCAAATGAGAATATGTATCTTCTGTATAGATATACATGTGACATAGACCTATTGAGTATCTAGTTAGGGTGACACCATCCAGATGTTTTAGGCAATCTTCTGATTTAAGACAGTGACTATTTCCAATTAGACCCCCCCCCCCCCCCCTTGTTTATACAGAAACTAGTAATATCTGTCAAAATTGTTTGGCAGCTTTTCAAAAAATTTATAATGTAACATTTTAGTGATATTCAAATACTGTATATTTCATACTTTGTGTTTTTTAAATTGAAGAAAAATAAAATTATTGTGTGAGCTGATTCGGTTAGGTTTGAATTTCTCTTCGAAGTCCTGTTTTATGCGTCGACTAATGTCGTAGACATGTAATACTAAATTTACAATAACTTGCCCATTTCTGGACCAAATTCAACAATTTATGCACCAAAATGTTTGGAATTCTGTCCTCTTTGCACCTAAATACAAAAAAGTGAATTGCAAAAAAAAATTATTTCCTTTAAGGTAGCTAAACACAGTTTCGTATAAAATCCAGGGGGTTTTTCCCAGAGAGAAGCATGCTGGGTAGGGATTTTCCTGCTATTTATAGGAGTCTAGATGAAAACTGCATCTTTTTTGTTTTTATTCGCATAAAGTAGAGTCTTATCTTAATATTTAAAGAAAAAATTGTGTATTCATTTTTAGAAAAAAAAAATTGTGAGACTTTTTAATAGGGGGAGATAACTCCCAAAACATCCAGTTTTCACATGTGCAGAATTGTATGAGTCAATTAGCAGGTAATGTAGCTCATTCAAGAGGTGGAAAATGTACCCTGAAAGCACACTGAAAGAAAACCTTAGGACTTGTTCTGTGAAATGCATGCAACTTATTTTGTCTGATTTTTTCTGTTTTTGTTGAGCAGGGGGGTTAAAAATGCATAGGTGCACTGAAAATGGATGTGTAAACAACCCAATATCCCCCTTATTTCAGGTGTCAAATACCCCCTAGTAGTAATTGATGAATGTCTTATAGTTGGATATTTACAAAATTCACAATTTTATCTTTCCATTGATATGCAGAAGTCTATGTAACAAGCCTCCATTTTATTTTTTTATAGGGGTCAGTTTTGCATGTCCCTCACCAAGTAACGTCCTGATAACGTCATACATAAAACTGTGTTTTGCACCCTTAAGGAGTAGCATTTGATGACATTTCCCACATTTATTTGCCTGTAAGTTCATAGAAAATTGCTTTATTTCTTTTAAATTATGTAGTAAACCATACAATATAATCTCAGGTTGACACTGTTTAAGGCATAATGCCTATTAGATACATGTTCCATAGAATTTATACATATGATAAGGATTTAGGGGCTAAAGTTGTTATTTTACATTATGACGCAACAGCATTGTGACATCAAAGTGTGACGTCATGTCAAAAATGGAAGCTTCGCAAGGTCATGACCTTCAATATAATTGATCGCAAATGAGAATATGTATCTTCTGTATAGATATACATGTGACATAGACCTATTGAGTATCTAGTTAGGGTGACACCATCCAGATGTTTTAGGCAATCTTCTGATTTAAGACAGTGACTATTTCCAATTAGACCCCCCCCCCCCTTGTTTATACAGAAACTAGTAATATCTGTCAAAATTGTTTGGCAGCTTTTCAAAAAATTTATAATGTAACATTTTAGTGATATTCAAATACTGTATATTTCATACTTTGTGTTTTTTAAATTGAAGAAAAATAAAATTATTGTGTGAGCTGATTCGGTTAGGTTTGAATTTCTCTTCGAAGTCCTGTTTTATGCGTCGACTAATGTCGTAGACATGTAATACTAAATTTACAATAACTTGCCCATTTCTGGACCAAATTCAACAATTTATGCACCAAAATGTTTGGAATTCTGTCCTCTTTGCACCTAAATACAAAAAAGTGAATTGCAAAAAAAAATTATTTCCTTTAAGGTAGCTAAACACAGTTTCGTATAAAATCCAGGGGGTTTTTCCCAGAGAGAAGCATGCTGGGTAGGGATTTTCCTGCTATTTATAGGAGTCTAGATGAAAACTGCATCTTTTTTGTTTTTATTCGCATAAAGTAGAGTCTTATCTTAATATTTAAAGAAAAAATTGTGTATTCATTTTTAGAAAAAAAAAATTGTGAGACTTTTTAATAGGGGGAGATAACTCCCAAAACATCCAGTTTTCACATGTGCAGAATTGTATGAGTCAATTAGCAGGTAATGTAGCTCATTCAAGAGGTGGAAAATGTACCCTGAAAGCACACTAAAAGAAAACCTTAGGACTTGTTCTGTGAAATGCATGCAACTTATTTTGTCTGATTTTTTCTGTTTTTGTTGAGCAGGGGGGTTAAAAATGCATAGGTGCACTGAAAATGGATGTGTAAACAACCCAATATCCCCCTTATTTCAGGTGTCAAATACCCCCTAGTAGTAATTGATGAATGTCTTATAGTTGGATATTTACAAAATTCACAATTTTATCTTTCCATTTATATGCAGAAGTCTATGTAACAAGCCTCCATTTTATTTTTTTATAGGGGTCAGTTTTGCATGTCCCTCACCAAAGTAACGTCCTGATAACGTCATACATAAAACTGTGTTTTGCACCCTTAAGGAGTAGCATTTGATGACATTTCCCCACATTTATTTGCCTGTAGTTTATTATAAATTTGCTTTATTTCTTTTAAATTATGTAGTAAACCATACAATATAAT